GATCGGAAACAATCGAGCCGCTTTACCCCGAACGCGGAAGCTGAGGTGCAAAGAGCCCGTTGCATTATACCCAGAGATCATCTTGTGTAACAAGTCTGAACCGGAAGTGATCCACGCCATCGTCGTAGACAAGCGCAGCACAAAGCATAGATGAACCATGACTTCGACACCAACAAAAATAAAGTAGATTAACACAACTGACCAATGTGGAAGAGAAATATATATCAACAAAACCGCTGCTGTGGGAAACGACCTCTATGAGACAGTTACATGTCAGAAGATGTGGGCAAGCAAGCTGCCTCCGACCTCCCTACACGAACTTCGCGGCCTGAAATCCATGCAAACAGCTTTGTAAAGGTCGTACGAACTCCTTTCCCTACAAGATTGTGGTGACTGGCAGAGTAAGTACCTGTAGTAACGTACACGTAGGCTTCATGTCCGTCGTAGCAGATGGAAGCTATATTAGCTATGCTAATTCTGGTAGTTCGACGTCTTCGGAAGTAAGTACTACAGTAAATATCACATATATTCATCTTAGTGTTAAAAAGAGATTAGTATAATGTTCAAAAATTATAATCGAGTAATGCACTTAAATTGTTAAGATATGAAAGAAGGCCAGAGCTAGTTCTAAGCTTGTGGCTTGTTTATTGTTGTCGCAGCTAATCAATGACACCTGCCTGCCAAGATGGCTGTCAGTTACAAAGTTCGGAAATGTGACATGACATCACATGAGAACTACGTAAGCCAAATCTTATTCAGCACTGTAAATTTATATTCCACCTAAATTCATATTCTCCTATAAAAAGACATCCAGAAACTGCCTATAAAGCAGTTTTTTTTTTTGTTTGTGCCACGAAGGTAAACCATCATGGAAGAACACATCTCACAACAGCAAAAACTTTAGCAACCAAAATATTTTAATCTATTCTCTCCCTTTTCTGAGTAGATATCTTTATATTCTTTTCGGGTTATATTTTTCAATCTGTTAAATTTTCTCTTATGCCTATAATGTTTGCTTGACTTCACCACATTTGCTGTGGAACTGCTAAACAACGTCGTGACTTCCGGCTAATCAGTTTTGTGAATCTGCCACTTTTTTTCCTCGCCATGGTTTTGCAGTCCAAGTTCATTCATGCTGAAGTTGTAACAAGTCAAAATGTTCCACAATAGTGTGCATTAACAGACCTGATTACTTATATTATCCCCTGGCATCAGAGCCTCTTCAAAGTGTTTGGTTAAATTTTATATTTCTTGGGAAACACCAGTGGGGGAAGTCTGTTTTTGGAGTACTTATCAACCACTGCCTCAGCAACCACATCCAGTATCAAGAGGCATTTTCTGAAATACTCCTGTCTGATTAAGGTGTCTGTTCCTTCTCTTTACGGAAATGAGAAGCTGAAACCTGCTAATAACGCTAAAATGACAGCAAGACCTACTTTAGATGTGAATTTTGTGTTTTGACAATAACATCTTAACCATTGGTTTGTTAGCATTGAGCCTTCCGTTTGTCTTAGCGCTGAATGCTAGCTTCTAGCGGCCTTCTTGAGGATATAACTGTACTGCATGTTTTGGAAATAATACATTTTCTTTCTTTTTGCAATTTTTGTCTTGGGGAACTCGTGATCTAAATGCATTCAGTGACTTTCTTGACACTCCCATTAGCTAATTTCTTAATTATGTCAAGGCTTTGTTTACTTCATTCATATTGAGGTTGCATTAATGTTTTAATATATGTCTGACATGCTACCCTATTCACTATAGATAAACTATGTTCCACAGGGTAGGTAGTTGGTATGGATGGAGAGGATGCAGTAAAAACACCATTGCAATGCATTCCTTTGAAAGCGTAGTTCTGCAGGTTGTCTTCATTTTCCTACTCTGGGTCAGACTCTGGCTCCAACATGTAAGGTTGGATGGACAAGTCTTCCACCGCTGACACCTCTGATAAACTTGAGAATAAAAGTTTCTGTGCTGGTAGATGATTGTATTGATGCTTTTAGATCTACAAAAATGGCTGAACGCGGTGGAGTGGAACTGAGCTCCGTCAGTTTTCAGGGCGTCAAGTTAATCTTATTAATCTTAAACTCTAAGAAACATTTCTTGTCATTTATCACACTGGCTACATGCAGAAGTATAGCACATCTAGCGCTAGTCAGTCATACAACAGAGTGAATGCTTGTTTTATAATATGAAAGATTGCTATAGAAAATGAGGGAAGCCATTGAGGCTTTTGTACTCATTGTGTAAATCTTAGCTAAGCAACCTGATGTTTCCAAAACAGTCATTTTTTTAATTCTTTCAGGTTGCCTTAAAAAATAGATGTCTTTAGTGTTTATTGATGTGTGAGCAGCATCTCATTTACTGTTCCTTTTTAGTTTGTTGCATTATCAACAACATGTGCTTCCAGTATTAGAGTCGGAAAACATAAAGATGCATATGCATATTGCATTTGTAGGTTTTCTTTGAAAAGCGCTTTTTTTTTTTTTTGCATCGTGCTATAATTATCTCTGTTCCAAGGCAACATGCTCCCAGATGTCTCCTCCTTATGTTTCTGAAGTGAGTTTCCATCTGGCACACTTCCACCAAGGCCACAGACTCTCCCTTTCTCTCTGGTCTCCCCTGTACACTCTGTAGTCACTTTCAATCTAACTGCATTGGTGTCTAACACAACACTTTTTAATACTCTCCATATATAATGCAGATGCCACACCACTTTGCTCTGAACCTCTTCTATTCCCCTCCTTTACTTTGGTTTCTTTTTTCACGTTCATCTCTGTCAGTCTGTCTTTCTTTCCTGCAGCTATCTAGCTGCTGTGCCCCAGGAGTAGATGCCTGCTCAATGTGGCAGAGATGATTTGTTTGCTTTGCAATTATTTTCCATCAGTAGAGACAAATGGATTCATACTGCATAGAAAACCCACATAGACAAGGCCAGAGTGATGAATGCACTTGAAACCAACTGATGTCCACTCCCCATAACACAAAGTAGATAGAGCCTTTTGATCCAATAATGAATTGCTTTATGGATATAGGTACAGGATAATCACAGTGATATACGTAGTTTGCAACAAGACAAAGTTCATGTAGATGTGTTGTTATCTACTAGTGGTGTTATTCCTTTGCAGGTCAGCAGTAGTGTTCAAACTGTAGGTCATTGTTTTATTGTTTTGTTTTGGCAGAAATTAATATTATCACTTCCTGAAAGTAAAACAATACAGATACGATAAAAAAAAAACCTCATAAAATGTTGACCACTTACAATAGCACTTTGTTAAAACTACAGAAAATATATTTATGTTTTACAAATTTAGTCATAGTTTCATCAATATCAGTTTCTGTTATCAACAACCTGAACACTAACTTCTTTCAGTCAGGAAGTCTAATTACATGCTTTACAGAAAGGAATAAAATGAATAGCATCTGATTCCAGCAACTACTTGAATAAAGAAATACACAAAATGTTACCTACTCTATATAGATTCGCAATTGCTGTGTTTGGGTTTGACTTTTGTTCCAAAGTAAATGGTGAAATTAGAACATTTTTGTACAAATTAGATCTTGCTTCCGAATTTTGCCACAGTCAAATCTTTGAGACATTATTCTACAACCCAGTTTGTAAATTCATTCTGATTTCCTTCTTCTGTTGATTTTCTTTATCTGCTACATTCTGCCATTTATTTTGCTCTGCTAATTAGCTAAACCACAGAAACTTCTGCCAACCAAAGCAATTTCGTACAGTGATGTTATTATGGCTTTTGTAGAGGTCCACAACAGAATTTTATTTGTTGTCTAGATTTGGGTACACTTTGTGTCCTCAAACAGTACATGGCCATGTATATGCTTATAGTTGTACTCAACTATAATTGGAGAAAACATTGGAGAAAATGTTTTCTCCAATGTTTCTAACCTTTTGCATTTTAAAAGGAAGCTTCATAAACAGAGTTGACGTGATTAGTTATTTCTGTTTGTTTTATAGAACTGAAACACACGACCACACTGCAGACCTTTGTCTATGAACTTTCAAACTATCCTCGGTTAAAGAGATTAACCTTTTCCTCCTGACTCACGTCTTCTTGATTTTCCCCTTTCTCCTGCCTCTGGTCTTCTTTCTGCTGTTTAGCCCTGTCTCCGCTTTTGGAGTGTCTGGTTTGACAACTCCTTGTCCCGTCGCACCCCTCCTCTTTTTGCCTCTCCTTTGCTCTCCCTCCCTCCTTTTATACGAAGGGCAGGTTCAGGGGTCACCAATTACTCTAAGAGGGCTGAGAAAGTTGTATGGGCTCTGCCCTCGGGGCTGCCATGTTGTATTATCATCAGCGAGATTGCAGGTACGCTGCAGCCACTGGCTCCCGGCACAACAGCCACAACCTTAGCCTGAGCACAAGGTTGTATAGGCTCAGTTAGACTCAAACTTTTCTCATGCCTGAGTGGATGGCTGGCTCCTAGTCTGCCTCCTTCTCTTACTGACCTGCTGGGCAGAACTAATACATGCCTAGACTTCAGAAAACTTGGCTTTGTGATCATATGCACAAGGACAGTATATACATATTTCACTCAGCCTGTCATGATAGGGTAGAGTGAATTTAAGTGTGGATTTAGGTCTTTGTATGTTTTTAGAGTTTTCCAATACATGCAAAAGGCAGAACCAATGGAAATAATGGGAATCAAGCAGTATAATTGCAAGTACTTTGCATAGGTGCAAAAACATTGGGGATGATGTTCGATAGCATGTAAAAAAGATGTTAGACTTTTGACCTGAAGCAGTGACGTCTGTAATTACTGTTAATTGGGCAGTGACTGAAGAAAGTTGATGTTTTCAACAAGGGACAAGTATGTTAACAGTCTGTTTAACAAAAAGTCATCAACAAATTTCAGCATATTACACTAAGAATCATCAGCTCTTCATCACCCCCATTTGTTTTGACATTAGGCCTGTTCAGACATGACATTAACACAAATCCTTGCTGGTCCTGATACAAATGGACAGATTTAAACCTGAGGGTTTACACCTGACATTAAAAACCATCAAGAGCAATTAGACCTCAGCTACCTGCTCAGGATGCAGATAGACACGTTGCCGTGTCCCTCAGGCAACGCAGACTTCATCCACAGGCTGTTTCTTCAGCAGCGATGATACTTCATAATAGAACTACGTCAAAATGGGTGCCGCTGTGAAGCAGGGGGTAAGTGAACAAACAGTAGTTGTGTTTCCATTACAGATTAGGACAAAACATTTTTTGACATTCTGCTAACGTTGAAAAAACACAATTTTGCAATTGGGGTGTTTCCATTCAATGAAAAACTCAATTAAGATCTTGTGAATAAGTTTGTACACACGGTGATATCCCAGGCCATCATCCTCCTACCTCTTGTTGTCTACTTCGTCTCTTTTGCCTGTAGTAAC